TCAATAATAATATGTAAAATTTCAACATTAACCCTCTCTTTTTCATCTCTTCTTTCATTATTTTTTTCTTAAATTAAATTATACGAATAACTTTTCCTTCACTTTCAGAGTAGCCAATTTAATTTCCCGATTAAATTATAATGCAACGCACAGAGTGTAAAATACATTGTTTAATATTTAATGCTAAACGTAAAGTGTATTATTTGTATAAAATATGAAAATATCTATAGGATTTTTACGCTATTTTTAATGAAAAATCTGCTTTTGCGGATAAGTGCCTTTTGTTACTTAAATACGATAGTGGCTAATCTGAATTTATTTAATGAAGATAGTCGTAGTGCGATTAGTGTTACGATATTAAGAACATCTCCAAGACCATTGTTTAATCCAAAATATAAAAATTCGATGCCATTCCTTATAAAAGGTATTTACTTTCCTGCTTGATCCCTCGCCAAAGTCATAAATTGATCTTATTCTATGAAAATAATCGTAATCCTCTAAGTGTATGATTCTTTCCTTCGGTGTCATCGCATTGCCATTACCCGTGTAATTGTATACTTGAAATCTCTTAAATCGCTAATGCTAATTGACAAATAATTTAATGGAAATTTTATCTTCCTCGTATGTCCATGAATTCTCTTTCTGCTCTTTCTGCGCACGCGCATATTAACGGATAGCATGACATTTTATTGGCAGGACAATTTTCTTGGCTATTTCATTGATAAAAATAGAATGCCCGAGTGCGTTGGCTTTTGTTTGCTAGCGTGACAAATTTCGTTTGAAAATAAAGCGAACGTAGCCTGGCTATTATCTATCGGCATTATTTTCTCGCTCTAGATTTCGCGCACGCGAGTACTTCGATGGCAATTTGGCCGCTCGTAGCCGATAATCCACCTTTATTCGTAATTAGAGAATAAACGTGCCAATAAAGTAAATTAGTGGCCCGTATATCGTCCCATCGTGTTCTCGTTCGTACATTTGACATCGGAGTGAGAAATACCGCGAACAAGCGGAGAAATGACCCGTCACCTCGATGCCCTCGCCAGCGAAACGGAAATTACGTCGTTGCCAAAGGCGCCAAATAATATTATTAAGTCGAGAGAGTAGGGCAGCAATTAAACGACGAAGTCGAGGCAACGCAAAGCCAACTGTGTGACACAACAATGGCGAGCCCCTCCTTCTTTTTCTTTTTCATCGATGCAATCTTCCTAATTAATAAGGAGACTCGCAGCACGCGCGTGAAATTCCAACGAGGCACAAGAAACGCATCCGCGCAGATACGTGAGAACGTTAATGCAGGAAAAATATGTATTCGCGCTAGGCCTAATTGCATCGCCGCGTGCTCTCCCTCTCCCTCTCCCTCTCCCTCTCTCTCTCTCTCTCTCTCTCTCTCTCTCTCTCTCTCTCTCTCTCCTTTTCGGCTCCATGACGAGGAGAAGGAAGAGGAGGAGGAGGAGGAGGAGGAAGTGTAGAGAGATAGATAGATAGATAGATAGATAGATAGATAGATAGAGAGAGAGAGAGAGAGAGAGAGAGAGAGAGAGAAGGTAATGTACCGTTGCGTAATTGCTCGTCCTTGCGGCTTCTCGCCGCTTGCTCAAACAAACGCCTTTATTCACCGTCGTACCCGCGTTCATTTCTAACCACCTATTTACGCGTTGGCCGCTCTCTCTCTCTTCAAATTGTCTCTCGTCCCTCGCACTCCTTTTCACCGGGCGTCCTTTCGTATCTTGTGATACGTATCCCCGTAGCGGGCACACGAATCGCATCTCCAATAGCGCCCTACGTCCTCGAGAACATGGAGGATTCCCGCCCCCGCAATGCCGTTACGCCGAATATGACGCGATTGGCTCATCTCCGAGCCACTGTTAGACAAGCCTCATCCGCGTATTAGTACGCGTGCGCGTCTCGTTACGGGACTGCCCTCCAGGGTCAGCCACCCGCGCGACGGGAATCCATTCCGTCGTCGAGCGCGGACGCCGGCATCCTCTCCAGTCTCATTCTGTCTCTTCTGCATAGTTTATCGCGGTCATCGCGAGCGCCATTCAACCCGAATGCATTTATATTCCGTTCTCGTCAGCCCATGATAAAGCTGTGCACCAACAGCCACGAATCCTACTCAAGATACGCGGCTGAAACGCATCTTTATAAATGTACCATGCACGCACACACGCACACTCACGCACACGCACGCACACACACACCTCCCTCCCGCCGTCAGTACCTCGTACGTGAAACGGATTATATGAAAATACACAGGGTTGGACCGCCACTTTTTACAATAACCATCGATTTACCGGGGCAAGTCAACGAATCCTGGAGGATATCAGTCTTCGAGTATTAATGCTATTAATGCATAATGGCCGGAGTACGCGGGCGCACGCATAAGGGCAGTACATTACAACAACGTAATTAATCATTAGAGCCGTAGTGATTTTATTATTCCGAGAGTAGCATTAATTTCCAAGATGGTAACCCGCAGCTTAAGCGATGGCGCTTATTCAATTAGAAAATGTAAGGAGACGAAAGGAGAGAATGAACTTTCAGCTCGAAAGAGCAAATCGGAGACAAGTTACTCCGGTGAGATAATTAAAAGGAAATTGTCGTTGGGAAGTCTAGCTTTGTCCTAGAAAATCGTCTACGGGTTATCTCGCTTCTTCCCTCCATTCCCATCGTAGTCGCGATCGAGGCGAAGCTCGTGCTCTGGTTCAAGCTCGTAGCAATGGGAGCCACTAAGGACAAGCCGGCGCCAATCGCCAAACCCGATACCGCTAATTACGATCGAGCGAAAAGCGGATCGAACGCACGAGTGGTTCGCTCTCGCGGGACCGATGCAGCGGATAGTGCACCCGCGGGCGCGACTGCGACAGCTGGCTCATCGTGCCCCCATCAGCGGGGACTATGACTATTTACCGTAGGCGATCCCGACGGACGAAGGAGAGACGCCGGTAATTGGGTCGCGGCGGCCGCTCGTAGGCTTTCGAAAGTGCGCCGTTGAGTTATGGCGCTCGTGAGCGCGTGTAACGACGTTGCGCCAGTTGAAATATATCGAGAGGGTGGTAGGGGCCACGGAGCGGATTGGCACCGCACGGAACAATAGAGGAAAGTATACCGACAAGTTTTCCATGTTTAATCAGTGGACCACCGCTATCACCCTGTAATATAATAATTTCATTTTATTAGAACTATGTTGTGCGAAAAGTTAATATGTTTTGACTTTACATAGATAATTTTATTAATGATTTTATAAATAAGGAGGAAAATAAAGCGGAAGAGAGAGAGAGAGAGAGAGAGAGAGAGAGAGAGAGAGAGAGGGTAGAGAAAAGGACAGCCCGAGGGAGACATGCCGCGAGATGGATCGACCGCCTTTATCTAACGTCCCGTACCCCACCCACCCACCGGCCCGCCACCCACTAGCGGCGCTCCAAAGGGCGTGTTTGGGAAAGGAAACTTTTATGCAGTCGCTCGCTGGTGTTCTTTGTGATATTGCGCGATCGTTACTTTGACGCTCTCGACGACAGATGGTGAGAGCCCATGAAAGAGGAGTTGGCTGCTTCTTAATGAGTTCGGTCTCTGGGCTTTCGCCCGTAGTCTTTCACTGCCGCGTGTTCCGTGTGGGAGGGAGGCATTATTAGTGAAAGGTTAACTCGGTGAGATGCGCGACGGATTTATTGTCTCATAATGCCCGAAATGCCGCTCTAGTTTCGTTTAAACGGCGCACCATGAGATACGCTACATCGAATTTAATAGGCACCGTCGAGTAAAATTGAATTTCAATAGCGAACGCGCCGTCGTCCCTAGCGGTTTCATATTTAAATTCACGCAGTGGTCGAAGATGTTGGCACGAGTGATGCGTCTTTATCTCGAACTTATGCTGGTGCGTATACACTACAACGTCACGTAACATTTCATGTTTCTTCTTCTTCTTCGTCTTCTTCTTCTTCTTCTTCTTCTTCTTCTTCTTCTTCTTCTTCTTTGCTTTTTCTTTTTGACTTTATTTGGAATATAATACGCATTAGCCAGATGGAGCGTGCATACTGTCGTAAGAAGCTCCCTCCCGTATAAGAAAATCACATTATTATAACTCTTTTATCAAGGGGTTTGAGCTTAGAGAAAACAAAAAACAAAGAATAATAATAAAAAGCATAGCTACTATCGTAATTCACTAGCTCTGATTTTCTCTTCATTTTTCTTTGCCCGACCATTAATTTATTTTACGCGTTTATCACAGAGCAGCCAATTAACGCTTCCTGGCAACGTCAGACCCGTGCAATTAATATTACAGCAGCAGCAGCAGCAATATTAATCAGTCGAATTCATTGGGTATGCGAAACAATGCGATAAGCGTCACAATAATTATGGATATGCCCATTACCTTGGAAAACAATGATATTTATGTAGGTGGCATTCAATGAGTCCGTAAAAGTTTAAAGCAAAATGCCCGAATACGAGCCTTCCCTTCCTTTCCAAACGCATTCACATTCATCATAATAAGGATAATAGTACGCTTAGTTATTGCGTAAGTAAAAAATGCCAAGTCGTAAGCGACGATTATTTAGCACCGACGCTCACGGCGATTCCTTCGATCGAGCGGATCAAGTTCGTTCGATCGAGCTCGAATTACCGAAATTTGTAATCAATATCTTGCCTGCGCACAAATCCGCAACTTCCGAAATGCCGGAGAAAAATAAACGGAAACCAAGAAGAAAGAAATGATAATACTACCTTCTCCTTAGGACGTGCAGCTACAGTGATCCGTGTCCTGTATTTTCGTCTTTTCGAGCACTACACACAAACGGACAACATTGGCGCACGGATGAATGGTTGGGTCGGTGGTTCTTGGGGGGGGGGGGGGGTAGGGGCAGGTGCGGACACAGGGACAAGATCCCGTGCGCCGGCTGTTCGGTCGTGGCTTCGGTTTCCTCGGGTTCCTACACCAAGATCCCCTTCACATTCTCATCCGAGAAACGTACGTAACGCACTTTTTTCCCTTCCCGCAGGTGTTTCCCGGATGGCGCAGAGTCGGGTCGCAAGATGACGACGGAACTACAGCCGTCGCCGCCTGGATATCGGGCTGGCGGGCAGGATGAGTGCCTGGCCCCGGTAAAGCTGTACCGGGGAGGCCAGTGCCAGCTCGGATATGGGGAGTACCGGCGCTCGCCGCCCGAGCCCGAGCCCAAGCCGATCATGGGGAAGGGGGAAGCCGCGGACATCGCGGCGAATATCGCCGCCAACATTGCCGCCAACATCGCCGCCAACATCGCCGACGCTTACGAGGACCGACATAACTACCGGAAGAAAAATGCCCACGGCTATAAGAATGATAGCGGGTGAGTACGAGAAGGAGGAAGGAAGGAAAGGAGACGTTGTTTCGTGTCAGAGCGAGAGAAATACGCCGGGACACGGGAGGATATTCACGGATGGTTGAATGACTCGATTATCTCACTTTCTCGGTCTTTTCTGTGGATACGAGCGCGGAAACTAAAATCCACGTCGCAATCATCGTCATCGGGCACGAAGAGTATCCACGCAATAAGCGAGAATAGCCGTGCGAATGAGATCGCCAGATCAATGAGCATTCGGCAAAATCGTAATTGATTCATTCGGTTTTTAAAATAATTGATAAAATTATTGTTTCGCTAGATTGTTCGGCCAATGATAGCAATTTTATTTCTGCCCCAGGGATTTTCAAGAGCTCGAATGTTCTTTTTTTCTCTCTTTTTTTTTTTTTTTTTTTGCACTTACCTTTAAATTACTAAGAATAAATTAATAAACTCACTTCTTCACTTATTATAATACATAATATTTATATTTTATGTATGTATATAATACATTATATAATTACCCACAAATATATCATTATGAAATGTAAATAAGAAAAATTAGCTGGGAATAAGAATTGTTAGACCAACTGAGAAATTAATGGGTAATTCAATTTGGTAGGCATGAAGTGTATATATAATATTGTAACTTGGCTCGCTAAATTTGAGCCGAGTTTTACAAAATTAACCTCGCAAATATTCGAAGCCGCATCGTCGAATATCGTTTAATGGCAGAGCTATAAAATAATAATAATTTGTCAGATGTCGCTGGAAGAGTGGACAAGCTGGTAAACGGCAATTTATAAGAACGAAATAGAACACGATCTGGCGAAATGATAAATTCAACACTAAAAACAAAAAAAAAAAGGAAAGAAAAAATATATATCACTGAAAGCTCCATTGATAATTGCATTCTGCTAATGTGTATTTCTTACTCTATCGTTTCAACACATTTTTCGAGGATGAATAATAAAATCAAATAAGTAAGCGAAATTGCCGAGGGTATTGCGTTGGCCAATGAATTTAAAGTTGGGCCAAACAGAGATTGAATTACAATTGAAATATACATTGCCATGTAAGGGATAAAGGTATTGCGGCAATAAAAGCTTAGGAAACTCCTTTATCATTTCGTTTCCCTTGTGCTAAATTTAATAAGAAATCTGAGATCCCCGGCTTTTCGATCCCTCCTACTGATAACAATCGTTATCTTGCCTAGAAACTCAAATTACTATTGGACTTTATTATTCTTAGCACAGGTTGCATTCTTTGTTTAAGTGTGCAATGTATTATTTAGATAGAAGAATAACGACGAAATTCCTTTATGATCCCATATTCTACTGACACGCACAAGATTAATCGAAGCGAGATCAGGCGCTTAAAGCCCCGCGCATTATTATACTCGTTACGAGCCTGAAACCTTAACGAACGATAAAAGAAACACAAGCAAGCGCAGCGCAGCACAGCAATGGTTTATTCAGCGCGAGGCCTACGTGTTTTTTTTTTTATTTTTTTTTATTTCTCTCTCTCTCTCTCTCTCTCTCTCTCTCTCTCTCTCTCTTTTATCTTTAATCGCGTCGCGCGCCCGATACGCCGGGACTAATCTCCGGCCCCGTCTCAATGTCCCAATACCGCGAATTCCAAGCTGCGGAAAGGAGTAGCGGCCGGCACTGAGAATCGGCATTGGAGTTGCAGGTACAGCGAGAGCCTCGGCTTCGAGAGCTTCAGTCTGCCTCTTACCGAGCGTGACGCGGCCTCGCCGCCCCCGACGCCCCCGGTGCGCGACGCATCCAGCCTCAAGGGCGTCTGCTACGGGCCCGGGCACGAGAAATACCCGTCCTGGCCGAGCGGACCTGAGTGCCGGTACATCGGGCCCGAGGATGACGTGGAGCCCGAAGGCTCGACGAGGGCCGGCCTGCAGCAGTACGGCGGCTCCCATCGCTCAAAATCCTGGACCGATCACACCAATTATCCCAAGGAGAAGCCGGCGCAGTACACGAGGCCCCATACCAAGAGGCCCAACTCCACTTTTACGCAACAGGTACGTCCGAGGCTGTATCAATTCGCCCCTTTCACATCCATTGCCGCGCAAATGCTTCTTCTGATCCCCTCGATCTCTGGCACTTTGATCCTCACACCTAATGCCAATGAACTGTTATCCACTGCACTGGTTGACCTTGTGATAACTATATCGGCGTCTTTTCCAAGCGCTCGATTCAAATCCATTTTTACTTTGCCGTTGCAGTGAGGTAATCTCCTTTATGTGACGGCGGGGGAGGAGGGAGGATGTTTAATCATCGATACGAAAGCTCAGTGAAACATATGTTAAATCCGTAAATATAATAGAGCAAGAAGAGAGACTTTCTGTTACTGTGCATTTTTATCTAATATAAGCTCAATATACGTATATATGTTTTATCATTTAACTTGAATGCTATGTTTATAGAATAATTAATAAAAATTTCTTATAAAAAAAACTACGGTAATAATGTGTAAACTCAAATTTTTCACCATAATAATATTAATAATAAACATTTATTTTGTTTGATAGACGCTCGTCTTTATTGAAAATTTTATATTATTATAGTATTATAAGTGAATGAGTCTTTTAGCAATAACAAATGAACATGTAAAAATAAAATAAAATAAAATGACGCACAATAATATATTCAAATAATTAAAAGTATAATTTTTTTTTTTCCTTTTTCTTTTTTTTTTAAAGAATATAAATATCAAGGGACTTTCGTGCACGATTAATATTAATATTAATTGATAATACCGTAGGTGAATAGTAAATTATTTAATAATTGTTTCTCACACTCGTTATATAAATTGTAATATAATCATTAAAAGCCACTGGCGTGTGTGTGTGTGTGTGGGTGTGCGTGCTTTGTTGGGCTCAGATAATCTATAATTGCCATAAATTTTACGAATTTTTATTGGCTCTTAGAAAAATGAGGAAATACTTTTCTAAAAATGTATAATATCTCTTTTTTCGTACATTATGTTTGAAATGTGACACTAATTAGTTATACTGACGTTTACATGAATCGTTTGAAAAAAAATCGCAAGAATCATTAGCATATTCATAAACTTACGTTAAAAAACTTTCTAAAAGAATCAACATAAATTATATGAATATTATTTTAGTTTCCTAATATTTCTCGTTAAAATTTTCGACCGCGCATAGTTATTAATGTACTTTGGTCCCGTATATTACATTAATGCAAAATATTAATATGACACTTGGTTTAATTAAACGCACACGATATTAAAGTTGCAAAATTTATAAATTGGCTAATGTAACATTATACTTGAGAAACTCTATGAGCAAGGAAGATTGTATTAAAGTGGAATTGGTCAATTAGCTTGTATGGTATACCATGTGGAGCAAACTTATGTCATAGTCGTTTTAAATAAATAATAATAGTATTAATGAAAGTGTGGGTTAATGGAATTCATAGTCGATTTAACGAACAGTAGTGAACAATTAATGTACTCGTGAAACTAAAATATCACTTGGTTGTGGCGAAGAAAGCTTGGGCGAAGTCTAAAAATCAAACCATCTGTCCGACAGTTGAAGACAGTGATGGAGAGATGCGAAAAGATCCCAGCGGAGACTTACGAGTCACGCGCGCGTAATGGCGTCGAAGGTGAACAGCATCAGCAGTATCAACATCAGCATCAGCTACAGCTACAGCAACAGCAAGAACATCACCATCAACAGCACCATCAGCAGCAGCAGCAGCAGCAGCATCATCATCATCAGCAGCATCTGAGAATGTGGCCGAGTGTCGATCGGGAAGGCAAGGCTCTGGGAGACGCCGAGTACGTCGTACCCTCGCCGCCCGAGCGGGAAACCCTTCAGGCAAAGACCCTCAGCCCTACCGATCTCGAGGCTTACGTAAGGAGTTACCAAGATCCACGAGTCTCACAGGTAAGCGAGCATTGACTTTTCCGCTCTCCCACCTCTACAGTAAAAAAAAGTCCTTTTACACTGTCGCTTTATTTGGTAGGTTGAACTTTATGGGGAAAGTGACTTGACTCAGGCGGGACTCTCCCAGCAAGCGAGTTACGCCCAATCGGAGGGTTACCATAGTTACGTCTCCAGCGTCGATTCCACCACGACAACCCCGTTCCTCGACAGGTGAGCGAATTTCTTTACATAGCTGTTAGGCGCTTCGAACTCTTGAATTAAGCAGACGAGATAAAGACATAAAGAGCCCGGGCTTTTAGTATTCATGGGACAGTGAGCGAGGAACGTTCGACCATTTTAACGAGCATCGTGGCGCGAGCTGACGATTGTAATTGCCGCGCGCCTTGGACCGCAAAATATCAATGATCATATGCGAGGCGTATTTGCAAGGAGAAACGCGGGGGAACAAAATGAAAACAAAAACAAAAACAAAAACAAACAATACTATGTCCGGAGCGAGAATTCGCAAAGGAACGCTCGAATTTAGCGTAACGTCGGCATGGTAAAGTGCCACGACCTAACCGGTCAATGCTCTACGAGAATGGGGTTCAAAATAGTGTCGTGATAGCAAGGAGAAGTTGTGATACCCTTGAAATTTTCAGATTACGAAGGGACAGCGAGGCAGTATCTCAGAGGCCGCTGACCTCCTGGGAGGACGGCTCGTCGTCGCGGGAGGGTCGGGACAGCGTTGTCACTACCTCGAGTGGCAGCGCATCCAGCAGCGAGACCCTCAAGTGGCACGGCTCCCTGTCCGACGTCAGCGTGTCCAGCGGGATGCCGATCTCCCGGTCGTCCGGTATTGCTCAGGATCGCTGGCATCACGGCTCCCTCTCTGACATCAGCATCAACGGCGGCCTCTGCCAGCCGATAATCCCAAAGCCCGGAGTGGAGGAGCGCGACAAGTGGCAGGACACGATTATGAGCGACGTCGGCAACGTCATCGACCGCCACCAGGGCCAACGTAACAACGACCGCAATAGTAGCAACAGCAGCAGCAGTAGCATTAGCTGCGGCAGCGTAAACAATAACAACAACAACAATAATAGCAACGACAACGGCATTGGTAACAACAGTAGTACGAAGAGTAGCGGCGGCGGCGTCGACGGTGGCGGTTGTAGCGTCATAAGCGGTAGCCATCATAATAACAACAACATCAACGGCAACAGCAGCAGTAGCAGTAGCAGCAGCAGCAGCAGCAGCAGCAGCAGCAGCAGCAGCAGCAGCAGCAGCAGCAGCAGCAGCAGCAGCAGCAGCAGCAGCAGCAGCAGCAGCAGCAGCAGCAGCAGCAGCAGCAGCAGCAGCAGCAGCAGCAGCAGCAGCAGCAGCAGCAGCAGCAGCAGCAGCAGCAGCAGCAGCAGCAGCAGCAGCAGTAGCAGCAGCAACAACAGCAACAGCAGTATCCTCAATAATCT